CTCTTTGTCATGAAAGTATCTTATTTCTCCATCCATTTTGAAAGATAGTTTTGCAGGGTACATCAATCTGGGTTGGAGGCTGTTTTATTTTAGGGCTTGCAATATGTCACTCCAAGCTCTTCTTGCCTTGAGGGTTTGCATTGAGAAGTGTGCTGTGATTCTGGTGGGCTTTCCTTTGTATGTGATTTGTTTCTTTTCTCTAACTGCTTGCAGGATTTTGTTCTTCTGTTGGGCTTCTGGAATCGTAACTATTATATGCTTATGTGTAGTTTTTTTTTGATCAAGGCTAGTTGGAGTCCTATAGGCCTCACTCATCTGTATGTCAAGTTCTTTTCCCCTGCTTGGGAAGTTTTCTGCCATGACTTCTGTGAACAGTTTTTTAATATGTCATCTGCAGTCTCTCATGTTTCTTCATTGACTCTGATCAGTCTTATGTTCTTCTTTGCATCGCCTAGCAGTTGCTGGATTTATTTCTCATGGTTCCTTATCATCAAGAAGATCATACACCCTGACCAAGTGAGATTCATCCCAGGGATTCAGGGCTGGTTCAACATATGCAAATCAATCACTGTAGTACACTATATCAATATAGTCAAGGACAAAAACCATGTGATCATCTCAATAGATGCAGAAAAAGAATTTGACAATATTCAACACTCATTTATGATAAAAACCCTACAAAAAATTGGAATAGATGGTCTCTACCTCAATATGATAAAAGCCATCTATGAAAACCAACACCCAGTATCATACTAAATGGTCACAAACTGAAATCCTTTACACTAAACTCAGGAAGAAGACAAGGATGTCCACTATCACCACTCCTGTTCAATATAGTCTTGGAAACATTAGCCATGGCAATTAGACAAGAGAAAGAAACAAAAGGAATAAAGATAGGAAATGAAGAAGTCAGATTGTCATTATTTGCAGATGACATGAAACTCTATACAGAAGGCCCCAAGAACTCCACCAAAAGTCTAGAAGACTTAATAACCAAACTCAGTCAAGTAGCTGGTTACAAGGTCAACACACAAAAATAAATAGCTTTCCTCTACACGAACAACAGACTCACTGAGAGAGAAATAGGGCAAACAATTCCTTTCACAATAGC